TATATTAAAAGAGAAATCATATTGTTTAATTAATATTGATCAAGAATTAATTTAGAATTAATTTTGTGATCAAAAGGGATTAATTAAACTTAGGGGATTGGAATTGCAATTATAAGATAACTGGTTTTGGGCTGTAGATCCCTTAGGAATAAGGTGGACGAATTCAAGGTGGAAGCCCACTTAGAAATCGTCCAGGCCTTGATTTTGGAAGGATTTAAAGGGCTGCTTGGTGGCTAAGCAATCGAATTAGGGTTTTGACTGAAACTCTAGCAGCTCACCTATAAAAGGAACCCTAAGGCTCCCAAAATTCGGCCCTATGCTTCTTAAGAGTGCCTTGGACGAATTTGGTGTCTCCTCCTCCCTCTCCTAAGTCATCTTGTTGCTTATGGTGTTTGTGACTCCATTAGAGGTGCAACACTTGGGGCACTAAGCTTTCAACAGTCAAGGACTTTGTGGTTTGTGATTGTTATTGCTACATAACAATCAAGGTAAGATCTAAACCCTAATTACATGTTAATTTCGATTATAGTATGCTAGATCTAGGGTTTATGAGCTTTGGATGATTATTGCATGTACAACTAGATAAACTAGATCCAAAGCTTTAGGGTTTGCATGTGCACCATAGGATTGGTGTAATGCTCAAAACCCATCATATATATATATATATATATATATATATATATGTGTGTGTGTGTGTGTGTGTGTGTTTTATTTACCATTTTACACTTCTATAAATACATCATTACTTTCACTTTCAAATTCACACCTTCTTTTAGCAATTTCTCTCTATTTTCTTAAAAAAATGAATCCTAACAATCCAACCCCAACATCCGATAGAAGAAGAAAAATCAATGTTTCGAGTTAAAGCACCCCAATTCGAAACATTTTCGCCATCGATCCATCTCAAGGGGTTTATCGTCCCCAACTTGATACCCCCATTCAATCTCCTCCACAATTTCAATACCAAAATGTTATGCAATTTTACCCCATGCAAGTGCCAAATGTTACTCCAAATATGTTCACAAACTTTGTCGTTTTTCCCGATCAACTTTCACCAAATTAACCCCAAAGCCAAACCCCACTCCATCAATCGCAAACCCAAAGCCAAACACCACCCTCTCACTCTTAACCACAATACCAAAGCCTCGATGAGTCGGAGGGACGAAATTATATGGGAAACTCTACCCATACCACCCCCACCACACCGCAAGGAAAAAAATGTTGCAAGAGACTACAAGTCAGAGGCCAACTGCATGGACTCCCCAAGAAGAGCTAGTGTTGAAAAAAGCTTGGGTTGACATTTCGGAGGATTCAGCGACGGAAAATGCACAACCGGAAGATCATTTTTGGATTCGCATTCTTGAGAGATTTCGCAAGGAGTTGGGTAAAGAAGATGAAGAGTACCGCCAACTGAATTCAAAGTTTCGAGAAATAGAAAAATTCGTCTAAAAAATGAACGGGTTGTACAACAACCTAAAAACTCAAAGGAGGAGTGGTCAAGGAGATGAAGAAATTATTCAAGAGGCTTTTCATTTTTTTCGCGAGGAAATGGGAAAGGCATTCAAGTCGCACGAGTATTGGAAATTGTTAATTCTTAGCCTAGGGTGGAAAAAATACGAACAAGATTTTATACTATAAGAAGAAGGACAATCAAAAAGAACAAAAATGGACTCCAGTGGATGTATAGCTTCTTCCGATTCTCGTATCGGGCTAGATTTAAATGACGATGATGAACTCGAGCTAGAAGAAATTGTCCGACCGATGGGTAGGGACAAAGCAAAACGGAATGGGAAGGGGACATCTTCCGGTGCATCAGATTTCAGCATGGACGCAGATGAAATGCGGAAAATGACGATGACATTTGATCAATACAATTTGAATTTCTCTGAACGTTTAACATTCGACAAAGAAAAAGAAGCCGAAAAAAAGGGAGCGAGCGGAAAGTTCTTGAAAAACACCGATCATCTTTCGGGACAGGCCCTCGAGCTAGTTTTGAAGTATAAAGAGAAGATCATAAAAATAAAATAAAAATTTGTAGAACGTTTCGTTTTTTTTAATCTAGGTTATGTTTTCTTAAATCTTGGTTGTTTTCTAGGTTTTTTTTTATTTTTAGTTTGTTTTATATAAATTTTATTATAACTAATGAAGTATTTTTATTTTAATTAATTTTTGTGTTTATTAATCATTTTAAAAAATATATATATATTTATCTTTTGAATTATAAATCTTAAAAACCAATTATTTTTATTTAAAAATAAAATAAAATGAAAGGTAGTGAGAAATGACTATTTTCCGTCTTTTGATGAGGAAAAGGAAAGTGAGGGAAAGTTAACGTGACTCTAAAAAAATGAAAGATGTTTCCTATACCCTATGGTATTAGAGAAAAGGTCATCGTGTATTTTTGTTTTTAGATAAATGGTCCATATGTTTTAATAGTATACTTTTTGGTCCATCTATTTAAAAAAAATTAGAAATGGTCCTACCTAATAGAAAATTTACAAATCACCCAATGTAAAACGAACATAAATAAACCCCATCATTTGTACTCCGCGAAATGATTCGCGAAACTAATGGAGGCAATTTCTAGTTAGTCTAATAAAATGTAAACAAAATGAATGAATATAAAAAAAAAAAGACGTTTACCACAAAAGGGTGTGTGAAATAACTCATAACCACCTACCTTGTCTGCCTATTATTGTGTGTGCTTTGAATTTACGACTGAATTACTGCCATTCAATTAAGTGTAAATGACAGTTGTACCTCTAGTCATAAAAGGAAACAAAAACTGATACCCCGTTTCTTATCAATCACGTACTTACTTAATTGCAACTCTCTTTTGGTCCCTTTGGTTTTAGCCTTTTAAGTTATAAGTTAGGACTTTAATGCTCGGATTAATAAACTCACCAATGTAAAGTTTGAAAATCTTTAAGCTTTATTTTTGTAATATAATGGTATCTCATCATTTAATAATGAAAGATACCGAGTATGTTAATATGCATCTAAGGATGGACGGAGTGGCTTGGTTTGGGTTGGCGGTACCGGCGGTACCACCGGGATTGCCCAATCAAAGAGTGGTGTCGTTTATTTGCTCTCTCTCTCTCTCTCTCTCTCTCTCTCTCTCTCCTCTCTCTCTCTCTATCTCTCTCTCTCTCTCTCTCTCTCTCTCTCTCCATATGCTTAAAACTTGTATCTTATGTTGTTTTGTATGTTTTTAATTTGTAAAAATATTATTATTTTTATGTGTTGTGGGTTGGGAAAGATAGAAGAAATATCGGAAAGAAAAGTTGATATGGAACTGATGGGACCGTAAGTTGAGTGGTTTCCACCACACTAATAACGTCGTAAGATGGGTTAGTGATGGGTAACAATGGTACCGGCAGTACCAGTGGGTTACGATTCCGGCAACAAACAGGTATAGCGGGTTGGAGAAATTAATAGGGTGTAGTGGATTTGTGGATTCGTCAATAAATGCATGCATTATACATATGAGAATTTCTTTGATGCAAAAAAGGATTCCACTGCCTTTTCTTGAAGACTTTTTTTTTTTAAATTTTGGGCGAAAAGTCTCCTCAACGTTTTGGGGATATTTATACGGTTTTCTAATATAAATTTATTTATTTAGTTGAAATTGTTTTGTGATTGATTCAATTGTTTATAAAATACATAATTAATTTGATAAAGAGTTAAATAATCAATTTTTAGTAATTAATTTTGTATTGATTAGGCTACAATGTATGGGCAATGGAAATGTGAATGTTATAACACCCAAACTTTGTCACGTCACCTTATAACATGAGAGAGAGAGAGAGAGAGAGAGAGAGAGAGAGAGAGAGAGAGAGAGAGAGAGCACGTTACAATATGTTATCATGACCACATCTCTTAACATAACACCCCTTAACATGAAAGGGGATGGTATTCCTCATGTTATAATGGCGTTAAGAGGTACCACCTCACCCATAACACCCTTTCTCGTTGCCCACACCGTATAGTCTTAGTTTGTCAAATAATTAGTTTGACAACAACCGATTAGTTTGTCAAATAATACATGAATTTAGTAAAAGTTTATTTTAAAGGAAAAAAAGTTATGGTTTATTTTATTTTATATTTCTTATTTAGTTAAATAAAAAATAATGTTGTGACAAGTGGAATTAGTGGGTTGGGAGAGAATGACTCCCTCCTCCCACAAAAAAATATGTGACATACAATGAACAACCGATACACCCAAATGCATGAAAGGCAATGCACTAAATAAGTTAATATCAAAATATCATATACCAAGTGTTCTTCGGTGTTGGTATTGAAAAAATATTATCGTGTTTTTTTTTTTTTTGACAAGATTTAAAGTTAACAAATCTTCCATTTAAAGCATCTCCAACCATAACATCAAAACTTATTCAACTTGCATATATGATATTCTATTTCTCACAATACCATTTATAAGATGTGTCAGATAATAAAACACCATATTTGATGTTTCACTATCTATTTACACCATGTTTAAAGCGTGATTCTTTTACATATACGATTTGTTCCTACAAAGTTTGACTAATCGATCATTTCAATTGTAACATATGCTATATATTCAAGACTGTTAATTTAAATTGTTTATTAGCTTATTGTTTTGACGAAATATAATACGGTGTCCATCGACTTAAATAAACAGGCATCAATATATTGTTTTTCTAGCTCATTTAAAAATTCTTGCTAACTTAATGGCAACCAATTGACCATTTTACCACTGTTTTAACACTAAGAAAAACCATATGGATCATAGTCTCGTTTTTCTTTTTTCATAACCAACAAAGCTCATATAAATTTACACTTTTACCCTCTGATTTTTGGTCATTTGATATGTATAAAACATAATTTGTCAAAACATTTTCATACCACATAAGCCAATCCACACAATTTTACCAAATTAACTCCATGTATGTAAAATTTATTTTTTATGTTAAACAACATATTAAGAACATTTTATGATTAAATAAACTGAATATACATACCACCAGTCTTGTATTTTCACAACTTGCAAAATAAAACATTTTTTTTTTCAAATATCAAAATTAACATTCCAAAAACAAATACTTACCTTGATATTTCCTTGGTTCTACAACACCTCATCATCTTGCTGTTGATATATGGACGCTTCCGGAATCGGCAATGCCGGAGGTGTTCCGGGCGGAATTGAAGCCGCCCCATTTTCACCCGCACACACACATAAAGCCTCGGCATCACGAAGAACCGGGTCAAGCTCAATTTGACCACTCAATTCATTTATGAATTTCAAAAGGGTATCAAAGTCCATTTCCTCCCCCATTATTTTGCCTCGGTGTCTTTTGAGAATTGCTATGCATACGTATAGGTGAAGGTGTTCGCTTAGATAGTGTGTCCATAATACTTCCCATAGCCTTAATGTTTTATCGTATTCGAATTCCCTGAAATCATGTGGTGGAATTTAGTTAGTATTGTGGGTTTGTGAGGGTAGAAGAGTAAATTTACACTTGCCTTTTGAATTGGATGAGGATCCAGCGGAAACAGAAGAAGTAATTCAAGCAGTCGTTTTGTTTGAAGTAGTTGTGTAATGGGCTGTCAAGAAGTTCCACCAGCTGCCATATTAAACAATAAAATAAATGTTAGAAACCGCAACTAAGGAATGGAAACGCGGATTCCGGCGGAATTGGAATTCGAGATTCCATTTTCATGACGTGTTTGGTTGACAATTTGGACTCAATTCAACTCTTTTCGGATTTCTTGAAATTGCATGTTTGATAATCGCAACTAAGAATTGGAATCGTGGATTCTGGCGGAAATGGAATTACAGATTCCATTCCATGGTGTATTTTGAAAATTTGGATAAAATTCAATTCCTTCGAATTTCATATTTGATGGAGTTCAACCATTCGTAGGGGTGGGTGGGAAGGAATTCAGTTTTATTCTTCCTTTTCTTTTATTAAATGACCAAAATACCCTTGTTATATGTTTGAGAAAGAGAGTGGACCTTTGATAGTGCAAAGAGTTGAGAGTGCATGCCGTTTTGATCACGGTTGAAATTTGGTCCTAATCTTTCCATTAAAGAAACAAAGCACCAAAAAGCTTCTGATTCATCTTGCATGATGAACAATATAGGAGAGAGGAGATCACTCATGCCCTGTGAGAAAAAAGACAGGGGTAAAATAGTCATTTTACTTGGACTTCACGGAAATTTTTTAACACCATCAGTACCAGGGACAAATCTTGAAACAAAACTAAACTTTATCGACCACTTGTGCAAACAAATGAAATATCTTAAGATGAAAACCATAACTTTTGAAATACCACAAGGACAAAATTGTAATTTACTCTAAAAATAATAGTGGCATGTTACCTGGCAATAACCAAGATCAAAGTTGTAGAATGAGTAAGTCAGCAATATATCATGCAAAAGGCGTACATTTGGATTATCATCACCCTCATAGAACGATAATGACCTGTCAGTCCTTACCTTCAAAACAAAAATAAAAACATTTAAATAAAAAAAAAAAACACACATTTTAAATAATTCAAAATGTATGCTCTTTTTCATACCACATCTTTCTCAATCAAACCCCTCCTTTCTCTAAATTTTGTAAACCTTTTAGCCTGTTCCGGGGAAATACTCTGCAAGATGAAATTTGCAATAAATATAATATGTGAGTGATACAAGTTGGAAGGGCAAAATAGTCATTTACCTGCCACTGGTTTTTGATAGTCATGTACTCTGCTGTTTTCACTGAGACAACATACTGCCTCTCTGCGTATGTGGAATCGTATGAATAATACCCCAATAAAAATGCCCAAACCTGGAATTACATGTCATTAACAGATTCAGTTAAAATTAGCCGAAAGGGTAAATGTGTAAATTGTACCAAAATATAAAAACCTCTTTTCGCAAGTTATGTTCCACTCCCCCGTAGAATATTCTCTTTTTTAAAGCATCTGGATCCATGATTCGGCCTTCATAATCCAAAAAGCTTGACCACTGTATAACAGAAATAACATTACTTGATTTATTTTTCTATTAATTTTTATACGAATATATAAAAGGGCAACTTACATGGAAAAGCAACATACTTTACTTTTTTTTTACCAAAATAATGAATAATGCGTTGCTATTTCCTGAAATTTACCATATAAAAAATTAAAAACAAATGTGTATTTACCTCTTCAACCCCCAAAGGATGCTGCCTTGGTTTTCCCCATACCAGTGATAATTTATCAAACTGCCAAAAATAATAACTTTATAATTAATACTCCCTCCGTCCCAATATTATTGTCCACAGACAAAAAACACACAGATTAAGAAAAGCATTAATTACCACTAACTTTATATAATAAAATGACAGTTTTGCCCTTACTTTGCATTTAATGTTGCATTAAATGCTTAGTTGGTTAAGTAATAATGAGGGGTATTTTGGTAAAAATGTTATTTATTTTTAGAAGTGGACTATTATTTTGGGACAAACCAAAAAGGAAAGATGGACTATAATTTTGGGACGGAGGGAGTATATATATATATATATATATATATATATATATATATATATATATATATATATAATTTCAGATTTTCAGAATTAATCCTTGAGGTATACACAATTTTCAGATTTGGTCCAAGGGCATTTTGGTCATTTAGAAAAAAAAACTAACTACTCAAGTTAAAGTTAACACTAGAAGGACGATTCATGCAACTTTCGAAACCATAGGGACCAGCGGCGTGACATCTTTCATAGAAGTCCTTAAAGTGCAATATTTTACAAACCAAAGGGACCAATTATGAAAAATTTTCTTTATTTTTTGATATTAATTACCTCGATAGGGTCAGAAGGTACAGGGACTAATTTGGGAACTATTGGGTCATCAATGGGGGCCATTTCAAGAGGCTGGTGGTCTTTTGAAGCCCAGTTATTTCTCCTCCTTTCACCTTGACTTTGACTTTGACTTTGACCATGACCATCAACAAGGTTGTCACGGAAGAGTTGGGAGGTTGTTTCCCGGGCAAACCTTGTGACAAGAGAGAATTTTTCTAAAACTTGAATGGAAAGATCTCGGGCAGGGTCATGAGTTTTTTGCCTCTGCCTGATGTTTTGCTGCCCGCTGCCCGAATGATTGTCTTCTGAAGTAGTGACTGTATCAAGTCTCTCCTGATTGTTGTTATCAGAGGGAGAGCCTCTGAATGAAGATGAAGGTGTTCCATTTGCAAGAGATCTTGGAAGCTCCAATGAAGACAAAGTTCTTTGAAGAGGATCTTGAAAGTTATTTACAAGAAATACATTCGCATCTTCTGATGATCTGAAACATCAATAGTTTTTAAAAATATTATATTAGAAGATAATGTTTTTAAGGACCAAAACTGTAAAAAGATTCTTTTTTGGACATAAACCACCAACCTGACAATAAGGACATGTTGTTTAACTGTAGCAAGAAACTCCCGGACTCCTCCACTATAGAAGTAAAGAGGAGGGAATGCTAGACCTGAAATTAAGTAGATAATATTTACAAAATCATAAATATATTTTGCCTTGTGGCATACACAAATGCACACAAATAAATAAGATCAAATTATAGTGACAACATACCAGATGATAAAACAACAATAACATACTGCCACCCAATTGTTGGTGTATGCCTACGAATTGACTGGATATCAGAAAATGGTACTGCTCTTATGGTATACAAATTTTTGTCTGCAAAAATCAACATCAAAATCACATCCATGGTTCCAATACAGATTACATGTGTATGCATAATTGCATTTGCATATACATACAAAGAGTCAAAAGACGAGTCTAACCTTTCTCAGACAACCTTGGATTTGAGCTTTGGCCTTTATAAGGTATCCATGTCTATTATGACAAAAAGAAGTATATCTTACAACTATAATAAACAAATCTAAAAGAACATGAATTATAAAAGACTAAAATAGTACTTTAGAGGAATAGGAGTAGGACATTACCATATATAGTGAAGAACCTTGCTTGATCAACTTCAAACGCCCACTGATCCTTTCTGTGGCATATTGAGTTGGATGAATTGTAACATTATCCTTGAGGTAAACTATTTGGGCATCTTCTGGGTCACTAGAAGAGCTTCTCTTGCTACTGTCACTACGGGTCACGCTTGATGAGCCCTAAAACATATTGAAAATAGGTTGAACCTAAGGATACAAGACGTGGGCTTCTAAATAAATTCAATGTAAAGCAACATGAACTGATTAGTAATGATTTATTCTCTCTAAAACCAAAACACAAGCAAGCATAGCTTAATCATGAATTTCACATCAATAACTTTAACATTAAGTGAACTTTTAACATAAAATAGTTGAATTCTATGTAAGCAATTTTTTATCAAGTCAAACACAGATATAGACACAAAAACTTTTAGAAGTTTCTCCCTTGACCTACTTACAGTTATCAACTAAGAAGATCACTTCCAATCAATATGAAGTAATTTGTTAACTTATCCAACTACTATTACCAACAGTTATGCTTAACCAAGCCCTAAAACACAGATCAAGCCAACAGCTTCTGAATAAATCCAATTGAACTACTGCCTAGCGAGTTTCGCATAAATATGAGTACGCATCAATAGCTTTCCAATTAGGCCACTACAAGTACAAACAGTAACAGATCATGCTACCAAAGTGATCAACTGATAACAGATCGCATTCAATCACCAAACACGATTCAACTTCTATCACTAACAAACTTGATCGCAGGAGCCCTAACTTACACGAAACCAATAACCTTTAACCTCGCCGCTTAAACACTCAAACTAAATTCAATTCGCATCATTACCATTCAAATCAATTCACAACTAATTCTTAACTAAGACTACAAGACGCAATAGTGTAGAAAAAAACGATAATTTACTTCTAATTTCAGGATTGATATTAGATATAGTAAGATGGAGTTGCTTACTTGTTTCGACGCTGCAGCATAATCGGCGTCGTCGGACAAATCGTGAATATCAGTTTCGTGCATCGTCGCCGGCGATAGATGCAATTAGGAAAGAGGAACGCGGTGATGAGCTGGATTTCTTCCGATACGGAGAGAATTGGAACAGAGTAAGGTGGAGATTGGGGGTTAAGATGAAACTCTAGAATCTGATATAAATGTTGTGGAATAAACCGTTTTGTTTTTAGATTTAATATATATAACAATTTACTTTCACTAAAATAGTTTTTATTTAACTGTTTGTTATAGCAATTGATTTAATTTTATGAGTTTGTGATGATCGGTTACTAATACAATTAATATTTATATAGTGTTTGAATTGCAGAATAATAATGGTATTCATTATTATTGTTATTATTTATATATAAGTATATATATCTTAACAATGTTCCACTTGAATATAAAAACAAAATAAGGATAATTCAATAACTTAAAGGCTAAGAATAGCAGTTATATTCCATGACGAAGGAATTGGCTCTTAGCGCGTTTTCGGTCCCTCGGTTACCTGTGGTGGGTGATCTTTAAACCGTTCTCTTTTGTCGACGATATCAATTAAAATCTGTTATTTTTTAGTAATTTGTTTAAGTAATTTTAGAATATGTTAATTTATCACTTGTCTAACAATAATTGGTGAATTTATTACTTGTCTAAAAATAAAATGTGAGTTATTTTGACAACTTAAAGGTACGTTTAGTTACAGAAAAATGAATCGTTTTTCGGAAAAAAAATTCAAGAAAAATTAGAATTTTGAAAACACGTTTAGTTCGATAATTTTTCTAAAATTTTCACGGAAAATGAAAATTTTTCGTTTTTCAAAATTACAAAGAACTTAGAAAATTTTAGAAAACCGATAATCGTTGTTTTCCATATTTTTTTAATTCCAAAAAATTTCTAAAATATAAACACACACCCACCCCCAACCCACCACACCCCTACCAACCCACACTCACCCCCACAAACACACCCACCCACCACTACTACCCCAATCATTGATGGAAACATTATGCTCTCTTGACATACTTGATGTCAAAGGGGGAGAAAAAGGATAGGTTATTTGTCATCTCTCTATATTTTATGTATCTACAATGTTTCTAACATTTGACATCTTTTTTTTTTCTTTCAGACGATTAGAGTTCGAAAAGGCAGAAAAATAAGTCGAGTACAAAGTATTCTGATAATGTTTGACTTTTTGTTGACCGGGTATTTCAACATTAATTGATGTGGATTGATTTTATATATGAATGAATAGCATGCGATGTAGCTTAAAATGGAACTAGGAGATGACAAACAAAAGTTTGTTGGTTTGTTGGTTGAACTAGAAAAGCAATTGCAATGTGGGTTATTTTTGTTCCTTACTTGATTATATCACTAAAAATATTTGTTATATTTATTTTACTACAGTCTAATATATTAGGGGATATCAATGATGCAAGTTGTGAGCTTTAGTCTAAGTTTCTGCAACAATAATTCTAAAATGAAGACTTTAGGACATGTGTGTTATCTTTTGAATTACAATGTTTGTCTATGAACATATGTTCATATTTATAAACATATGTGCAAAACCAAACATGTATGAAAATCACCAAATTTTAGGTTTAAGTATAAATGTTCATAATTGAATATTACCAATTCTATGTTTTTGTAAAGATGTTCATTTCTAAACATGGGCACATTCATACATGTTCGGTAGCGAACATGTATGAAAATGACTAATTTTCGGGTTTATGTATAAATGTTCATAACTGAATATATACTTAAGCTTAAACAATTACAGTAAGTTCATAAATGGGCAGGATATGTATTTTGGAATCTTATGTTATTTTGGGATCTTGGTTTCTAATATTGCTGATAATTTGATATTTTGGATATATATTAATTAGAGTTAATGAATTCTTATTTTTATGGGATTTAATATGTTTTTGTTATTTCTTGTTAATTAAATACTATTTTATGTTTTACCATTATAACCTTAATGAATATAATTTGATCTGATGGTAAAAAATTTGGTGTTATAGTTCTACGAGTTATTTTGGTTTTGTGTTGAGTCCAATATATATATATATATATATATATATCAAATGAGAACCAAAAAATGTTAAGAACCCTAAAAAGCTCTAATATTTAACTTATCATTAAAGGTTTTTATGTGACTTCTCAAAAATGTTTAAAAAGTTATTTTTGTCGATTGTAAAGTTGACATTATATTTAATGTAAGCGTGTTTATGTCTTTTACAAATTCAAACAAAAAAATTATTATCTAATTAAATATTTGTTTTAAGAATTTTTTTTATCTTAAGATTTATTGAGAATGACGTATTTGAACTTTTCTCCTTATCTTCATCAGAGATACTTCATGATTCCCTTCGAGATTTTTTTGTGATCTTCTTTGTTGCTAAAGGTGATCGATTCAATTAATTAAGCATCATAAGTTGATTGATTTTCATTAATATGTAGTTTAGATGGAACCATTCTCTAAAAGTGATTGTAGTGGATCAGGATATTTGATTAATCAAATTGACTAGTCTTCGTCGATAATTCGATCTGATTTTAGTTCGTTTTAAGGTGAAGGATCATCAGTTTCTCTAATGGAGTCAATACATATTGATAGTGGTGTACAAATCGTATTAGAATTAGGTCAATTTAATGATCAATCTTGAGGTCAGTTTTATGGTGAAAGTTCTGCTATGGATTTTATTGTTGATATTGAAATTGAAGTTGAATCAGCGTCTGGTATGTCGATTTTTGTTTATAAATCCTCTATAAGTTTCGTTTTGTTCTTTTGTTCCTAATTTAATTTGTTGTAGATTTGTTTGATGCAAAAATAAAATAAAATAAAAAATAATCATTTTCCTTCATTTAAGTTATGAATTTAGTGTTTAATCTTTCATTTTCCTTCCTAGTTAATAAAGTGGGAATATTAATGTTTTATTGTTTCGATTATTTAACACATGAATTGACATGTTATGTTGTTGTTTTTGCTTATATTCCTTTTATTAATTTTAAATTTATGTTTGTTTTAATGTGAATTTAAGTTACAATATCTTCTATACTGTTATTTTTTTTCAAATAATATTAAAATGGTTCTTTCTTTAATTTGTGATTTTTGATGTTTTTTTTGGAAGAGACCAAGGTTTTGGCAAACTTAATGATTTTTGATGTTTTAATATATAAAATATTGTTTTGATGTGTTAATGTTACTTTGACTTGTTATTAAATTATGAATTTACATATTTTTCTTTATTTAGTTATAATGTGTCTTTTAACTTATTATGTGGTTTCTTTTGTTAATTAGATCAACATATACCTTTTGAGTTTTTCTTTCTTGGTGGTACTCGTATAATCTGGATTCTTGAGAATGTTGATGATGTTAAACCAAAGTTGAAGAGAAAATACCCAAACAGATGATTCAATAAAAATGTATAAGGATTATGTTGCTAAAGTTGATTTTGATGTGAGAAGGGGTTCTACAAAGAAAAGAAAGGAGACTGGTGTTCTTACTCATCGATACATGTTATGCAGTAGAGAATGACCTCTTCAAAGTGTTTGTGTACACACGACTCGTCATAAAAAACAAAGTTCATAGAAATTCCAAAGTATAGAATCTTATGTATAGCTCCTTTAAACTTTCTTGAAAACATTTGGTAAACAAGCAAACATTTGTTCTCACAGATGAAGATGCAACAATGAAAATTGCAACTGAAAGAGTTTTTCATGAATCACGACATCGTATTTGGTATGTGGCATATTTCTCAAAAGTTGTCTGCTAAGGTATGTATTTTTTTTTATTTGAAATTATTTACTTTGTTTTCATTTTAGTTTAGATTTGTATTATATATATATATATATATATATATATATATATATAGTCATTATTGTTGTTATGTTTTGTTTATTTTACATATACTTTGTTTATTAAGTTGTGAATTTTCTTTATTTATAAGTGAATTTATTTGTTATTTATATTTACATGTGAATATTATCTATGTATAGGTATATTATATCAATTTTATTCTATCCATCATTATTTTTCATGTTCTATGTTTTTATTAAGGCGGTGTTTGTTTTTCTGGAAAAAAAAATTTAAGCACTTATGTTTGTGGGCGGAATGATATTTAGGTATGCATGTTCTTGCAGATTGTTTGTTTTTAGAAGACCACAAACATCAAAAATATATGTGTGTCCTCTTCTCCATAAAGACATGGACAAAGTCTGCGAGCAGGAATACATTTCTTGTAGACATGTCTAGACAATAAATAAGGATTAAATTATTTTATATTTAATTAAACATACTTCACTTTTTTCCTTTTTACATTTTTTGGTTATATTTTAATTGATTTTTATGCATTATGTGTAAATATCATAAAACCATAATATGTTATATACTAATTTGTGCAAATTAAAATCATTTCTTTTCTAAAACCATTGAATTACTTTTTTAAGATTTTTTTCAATAAGATTTCTATATTAGATTGTAAATTTTGTTTGTTTCTTGTCTTAAATAAAACCCAGTGTTTTCATGTGTAAACATTCATGTGGAGATTATAACAGACACAAATTAATATAATGTTTTTTATGTAATTATAAAATTTTGTGTTTTTTCTTGAAATTCAACCATGTCCCTATATTTAAGAGGGTTTGCATGTGTAAATAATTATTTGAAGATTATAATAGACAAAGTAATATAGTGTTTTTTATGTAATTATAAAATTTTGTGTTTTTTCTTGAAATTCAACCATGTCCCTATATTAAAGAGGCCGACACCATTTATGTTAGTTACACGAAGGAACATTACCATTACAAGTGTCGTGCTTCATAGTCTTATAAGGAAAGTAGGTTTGAACGATGAGTTCCTTACTTAATATGGGAAACACAATGTGTCATTTCGAATTGTATGGAATGAATAAATTTAAAAAAAGTTGTTATTGTTGTTGTATGAATTATATTCCAGTGTTGTAAAGTTAAATTTATTTAAATTTTAGCATTGGAAACTCTTTTAATATTAAAAAACTAGTTTATTTATATTTCAGTTTATTTAACAGTATGTAAACGTTAAAAAAACAAATAGACTTCTTCTTGTAAACTGCAGACATTAGATCTACCTCTTCTTCTGCAGATATAGTTCGTAGATTGCAAACTTTTCTGCTCTTAAAAAAAACAAAGAATACCTAAGTTGTGA